CAGTGGACGATATGAATGACAAGCTCGTAGAAACAGTCCATGCGGTCGGAGCTAAGTTCTGCAAGACGCGCCGCAGAAGAACACAAAAACTCTTCGATCACACTCTTAATCTAATGGCCGTTAGACGGGAGATGAGGCTGCAATCGTCAACAGATTTGACAGCATACAGGCAACTGAACAGACAGATCTCCAAATGCATGCGGCGATACTTACGCAACTTTAATACTGCTCGCATTAAAAAAGCGATCGAACGGAACCAGGTCTCCAAAGTCTTCACCAGAGATTTGTCTGCCAGTAAGAGCCAACTGTTAAAGCTGAAGACTGAGTGTGGCAGCATCGTTTCCGGGACACCTGAGATTTTGAGTGAGATTGAGAGGTTCTATGGGCAGCTGTACACATCATCGTTGGAGCCACACGCAAGTGTGAGTAACGATCCAAGAGCAAATCTTATCCTACACTATTCCGATGATATCCCGGACGTCAGTCTAAGCGAGATTAGAATGGCTCTCCAGCACCTCAAAAACGGCAGGGCCCCAGGCGAGGACGGAACTATAGCGGAGCTTCTGAAAGCGGGTGGAACACCGGTACTTGAAGTCCTTCAGAAGCTCTTCAACACCGTCCTCCATGGTGGCACTACTCCAGAGGCGTGGAGCAGAAGTGCAGTGGTCTCGTTCTTTAAGAAAGGCGACAACGCTCTCTTGAAGAACTACAGACCGATTACCCTTCTGAGCCGCGTCTACGTGCTGTTTTCGAGAGTCATTACGAATCGTCTCGCACACAGACTCGACGACTTCCTGCCTCCCGATTAAGCCGGTTTCCGAAAAGGCTTCAGTATCATAGACCACATACATACCCTACGGCAGATTGCACAGAAGACCGAAGAGTACAATCTGCCACTTTGCCTCGCGCATGTAAACTATGAGAAAGCTTTTGATTCCGTCGAAATTTGGGCGGTGCAACAGTCCCTTCAGCGGTGCCAAGTTGACTGTCGGTATATCGAAGTGCTGAAGTGTTTGTACAGCAGGGCTACGATGGCTATCCGAGTACAGAACCAGAGCTCGAAACCTATCCAACTGCAGAGAGTTGTAAGACAGGGTGACGTTTTTTCCCCCGAAACTCTTCACCGCTGCACTGGAAGACGTTTTCAAGCTACTGGACTGAAAATGATACGGTATTAACATCAATGGCGAGTACATCACTCGCCTTCGATTTGCCGATGTTATAGTTTTTATGGCAGAATCGCTGGAGGACTTAAGCACTATGCTCAATGACCTCAATAGTGCCTCCCAGCGGATAGGTCTTAAGATGAACATCGAGAAAACAAAGATCATGTTTAATGTCCATGTCACACCTATGCCGGTAGTTGTTGGGAGCACTATGCTCGAAGTTGTTGACGAGTACGTTTACCTGGGACAAATAGTCCGACTAGGTAAGTTCAACTTCGACCGAGAGGTCAATCGACGGATTCAACTCGGCTGGGCGACGTTCGGGAAATTACGACACATTTTCTCGTCAGGTATACCTCAATCTCTAAAAACTAGATTGTACAACCAGTGCGTGTTGCCAGTGATGACTTACGGATCTGAGACGTGGTTCTTCACTGCTGGCCATATGAGGACGCTCAAGTTCACTCAGCGAGCTATGGAGAGGGCCATGCTCGGAGTTTCTCCGCGTGATAGACTCAGAAATGGGGATATCCGCAGTAAAACCAGAGTGACCGACATAGCCCAATGTATTAGTAAGCTGAAGTGGCAATGGGCCGGCCATATAGCTCGAAGAACCGATAACCGATGGGGAAGAAAGTTTCTCGAGTGGCAGCCTCGTACCGGTAGGTGTAGTGTAGGGCGACCCCCCACTAGATGGAGTGAAGACCTGGTAAGATATGCAGGAAGTCGATTGATGCAGATGGCTCAAGACCGTGCTTTGTGGCATTACTTGGGGGAGGCCTATGTTCAGCAGTGGACTTGTGAAGGGTTGTAAAGATGATGATGATGAAGAGAACCAGTGGAAGGACTTCCGTCTACTGTGATGATGTGTAGCACATGATCGCCGCCTTGAGTCGGCAATGAAGTCGCTCAATGATACCATTCGCAGCTAGGTAATAGGCGGTTGTGCGTAAGTGACGCGCACCAACAACTTTGTGAGAGCTTTGAAGAGATGGCTCTCGAATTGGCGACCACGTTTTGTAGTCACCATTGCAAGAGAGCCGAATCAGGCTATCCAGCCGGACACCAGAGTAGCTGCGCAGGTCTCCGCCGTGATGTCCAATATGGGATATGCCTCAGGCCATCGCGTGAAACGGTCGATGACGGTAAGGCAATATCTATAACCAGAAGACAGAATTAAGGGCCTAAGTAATAAGTGGATATGGGAAAACCTCGACGAGGGAGTGAGGAAAGATGAAAGCGGGGATATGATGTGACGGGTGATTTTGCTCTTTTGGCATGACAAGCATTGTCGAGACCACTCTCTACAATCTTTACGTATCCCTGGCCATATCCTGGCGTATCTTTGTGAGACCAATCGCACAGTAGCTGAAATTTCAGGATCGTGTAAGCTGTGTAGTGTATCAAAAACTTGTTGCCTGAACTGGGGAGTAACATAAGGACATGGCAGTTCCACAGAAGTGTCGCAGTAGAGAGGTAAGTTACCATTCACAGTGTTGATTCTTTTCAGTTGCAGGGTAGAGCCATAAATAAGTAGATTGTATTTGCTCTTTGAGAAAGCGAAGATATATAGCCTTGACCATACGGCTGAAGTATTTGATGGCTTCGTAGACAGCCAGGAGCTCTCGGTCGTAGGTGCTGTACATTTTCTGTGCGTTGCTGAGTTTGTGAGAGTAAAATGCAAGTATTTTCTAATCCTCACCTTTCCGTTGTTGACGTATGGTGCCTATGGCAGTTTCAGACGCATCTATCACTATTACTAGTTCTGCATCTGAGTCCGGATGAGAGAGAAGAGTTGCTAGAGATAGTGATTCCTTACAGTCTTCGTAATTGCGGAGTCATGACTATTGGGTGAGACCCTTTGATTTTTGCGCCACTGAAAACGTCATTCAGCGGTGTTTGAAGTTTGGCTGCGTTGGAAACAAATTAACGGTAGGAGTGTAGCGTGACTAAGAAACGTCTTAGTTCTTTGACCGTTTTTAGAACGGGGTATTGCCTGATAGTTTCGACTTTGGACTCAAGTGATTTCGTACCTGCGCTGACACGTGGTATCCCAGGAACCTGTCTTCTGCTTGGCCAAGTATACACTTGCCAGTGTTTACGATGACACTGTACTGCTTTAGGCGTTCAAAGAGTTGCCGCAGATGATTATTGTGCTCTTGGATGGATGACGAAAATACTAAGATGTCATTTATATATCCGTAGCAGAAGTCGAGTCCTAGCAACACCTCGTCAATGAACCTCTGGAAGTTCTGTGCTGTGTGACGAAAATTCATACAATCCAAATGGAGTCTTGATCCCCGTTTTAACCCTCCGTGCACCAGGTGACTAAAAGTCTCGTCCTATACTAGGTGGGGTGTGACAAACCCCAAATTAAAAAATGGTAAAATTGACATATTTTTTAAGTTTTTCGTGAATTTTATTATCACGTATTTATAAACACATTGTAATGATTAGGTTTAAGTTAAAGACCGGTTGAAAAGTATGTAATAAAAATTTATTTTTATAAAAGAAAAAAAAAACACAACTTCTGTGATTCACTTATCATAACAGTTACTTTCTTATATACTAATTTTAAATGGCACGTTTAATTATTAGAATCATGTTTAATTAACAAACTACAGTATATTTCCTTATAATTTAACATAAATTGAACACAAAGAGGTACATTTTAATTGAGATCATTGTCATCCAAGCGACCACAGTCTTGACAAAAAAAAATCAGTGTGCTCCATACATATTAGTACATAACATTTTTTACACGTATATTTTGTTTTACGATCTTTGTTCCTGGGGTAACTTGAAAATCTTCTTTGTGTATTGGACCTTTTGACTGGAGGTTCCGGCAAATTTTCTGGTAGGTCAGGAAAATACTTAGCAATTCTGTTACGAAGGTCTTTTGGCAGCTTTTGGTTTTGCCTTCTGGTGTTAAGGTGGCCTTTTATCAAAGATATACCCAATTCCCGGATGAATTTACTTCTCAGATTGTTTTTATTTCTTTCAATGCCGTTGTTGAACATATGGATAATCATTCCATTTACTCCGTGGTTTAGCAGCTCGAAAAATATAGTTAGCGGCCATCGTTTAGAATTTCTGGGAACGTCGTAAGTTGGACATAATTTATTCACCACATCTACGCCACTTTTGGTCTTATTATAAAACGTTATCATTGCAGGTTTTTGTTGACTTCCGGTTTCCGAATCTATTTCTTGGTCATGGTGCAGTGAAGACATCAGATATACCATCTTACGTGGCTTTGGTACGTAGGATAAAATCGTTATATTCTTTTAAAATCCAAATAGAGATGTATTTACTTCAAGATGTTTCTTGAAAACTGGAGGAAAACACGTTTTATAGACGCGCAAAGTTCCGACAACAGTGAGCTTATGGTTTTGGAGCAAATTTTCTGTGCTTTCATAGGTAGTGTTGAAATTATCCAATGTAATGTTCCGAGAAGATAGAGATACACATTCGACTAGACGATCAACCGCATGGTAAGCCTTGTTGCTGATAGAAAAAGGGCTATTTTCGAGCTGCTTTCCACAGTATATTTCCATATTCAAAGTATAATATGTTTTATTGTCAACTAAAGAATATATTTTTATTCCGTACTTTGCTGGTTTTGACGGAATATACTGGCGGAATCCACATAGACCTGTAAAAGCAACCAATTCTTCATCTAATGTTAGGTTTTCGAACGGAATGTAAACATCTTGACTGTTTTTTATAAAGTTTTCAAAAAGATTTCTTATTGGAGCTAGTTTATCAGTCTTCAATCTCTCGTTTCGTGTTGCCGCGCTATCAAACCTTAAATTATTCAGTAAGAAAGCAAATCTATTTTTTACTCATAGTGTCTCTAAAAATATCCAATCCTGTCCCATCAGTAGCCCATAAATCAATTGTAATATGACGTCCAGAACGAGCCAAACCTGATAGGAAAAGTAAACCGTAAAGGGCTTTTATTTTCTCCTTTGTAGTTTGTGATTGTTGAGGATCACCAGTTGGTCGGGAGAGTATTTTCTCATTAGTGCAATTCACGATTTCATCCGTCATAGCATCGGAAATAAATAGTTCAAAACACTCAAGAGGTGACAACTTACCCCTTGCAGCTGTTTTCACACCAGGCAAATGAGTAATAATATTTTCTGCTCTACTACGAACATTGCTTCTGAATTGTTCTTTTTGCCACTTTGTTGTCTTATCTTTGCCAGTATAATAACTTTGTCTCGACGCGCGAACCTCTGATAGGGGTACTTCGTCGTCGCTCTCAAACTCGGAAGAAAGAATTTCGGCATCCACTTCGCTGTTTATATCACTATGAACACTCAAGTGTTCTGATTCAACTTCAGAGCCCGGTTCTGAACTCCCGGATTCTACTTCGAAGTCATCTCCTTCGTCCAAAAGTGCTTTTAAAATATCATCATCTTTCACGTGGGTCATTTTTCATGTAACTATAAATTTGTAATAAATAAGAATCCATTTAAAATGCTGAACATACATAAATTAAACACATAAAGGCAAAAAAAAATCAAATAGAATGCTTGCTTTTTTGTCAACGAGCCGTACAAAGTGGGGTGTGTGACACCCACATGCACTTTAAAAGCGTGTAGCTCGCTTGGCGGTGGTCGCTGGACTGACTCATTGACGCGAGTCAGAGCGGCAACGTCGCAATTCCAGCTACTGAGAATTCGAGCGGTGGCGGGTTTACAGTTTTAAAGTTATTGGGATATTTCAAGGGCTGGGGTTTACTAAACCCCACCTGGTGCACGGAGGGTTAATAATGTCATCTGGATTGACAGCAATCTGATTGTATTCTTTGACTAAGTCGATCGAAAAGACGGAACAGCCTGTGATTTGACACGAGAAGTCGTGGATATGACGGATGGGATATCGATCAGGTATAGTTCCAATGTTCAGTGTTCTGTACTCTATACATGGCCTACAACTATCATCTTTTTTTCTTTACCATGTGAAGAGGAGAAGATCAAGCGCTTTTCGATGGTCTGGCTGTGCCGCTGGCGAGCATGTGCGAGAACTCCTGCTTCGCAGCTTGCATGTGATCCAGACGTTGAGACTTATTGGCTATTGGAGGTCCTGGAGTCGTCCTGATATAGTGCAGAGTACTGTGTTTGTATGGTAAGTACATACCTGGAGGGCGAGTTATCTCTAGAAATTCACGCAGTATCTGGTGAAATTCGGTTTCTCCGTTGACTGACTTCACTGAAGCGATTTCTAGCGTTGATGTGCGAGCTATGGCGTTGACCGAGAGAGTAGTAGGAAAAAGGAAAAAGTCATCTTTAACGTTTCGGAGCTATGCAACAAATGTCAAATTCTTTTATTATTACAAGTCAATATTGTTTATACAGTAAGGCGCTATTTTAACTACATATAAGGTACTTTTAACAATAGTTCAAAAATTATTTTCAGAGGTATAACCAGTCAACTAGTTCACGAAGCAGTCTGTTATGAATTATAATAGGTAATATGAAGTGACATTCTCGACTAATCGTTAATTTCTATAGTGGACGAGTAAATTATAGTGGCTGAGGAAGTCAAATCCGATGATCGGTCGTGTCACATCGGCTATTGTGAATTTCCATGCGAAGTTCCATGCAAAGTTCCGTCTCAATACTAAATTGAGGTGCAGCAGTATTGGTCCGTAGGTATGTATGACTGTGTTATTAGAAGTTATGAGGTCATACATGAATTTTGAACAGGGCGTCTTGACTGTTGACCGGGGAAAAACACACAGGTCTGAACCAGTATCAACGAGAAACTGCATTTTTGATGTCCAATCTGAGGTGAATAAACGGCCTGTTGAAAAGGGTAGTCGTTGGCTGCTACTTGCGACCAACCTGTAAGTTTTCCGCCTTAAATGTGCAAGGCTCCTTACACTTTTTCTCCTTGCGCCCGTAGGTGTAATGATAAAAGCAGAGCGGGTGATCCGGTGCAGGCTTTTTGGGTCTGAATTTCCTCGGGTTGGATCGCGACCTTGAGTGTGAGCGGGAACGTCGTTGCCTGTGTAGTGGAGTAGTGAGAAGTGCTAGTTACCTCATTAGGTCACTTATCTACTTGGCCATGGAGTCACGGTTTTCCGGCATGGTACTTGAGGGTTCATCAGCGCAATCTCGTATACCCTGTCTGCGAGTTCAGCTAGTTTCTTCAACGATAAGTCTGTTAACTGAGAAGCAATCACAGTTTGATCGTCAATTTGGATCAATATTGCTGATGGTATTCGTCGTGTTTGAAATTCAGATACAAAACATTTCCAATCGACATGCATCTTCATTTAAAATCGCAGTGTTACTAGAAGAAAGGAAGGTGATAGGACTCTATTATATTTAGTTTAATGTTATTTTTTTTTTTTTTAAATTCCTTTTATATTATGAACCTGTGTATTTTATACCACAATGTTACTAAAAGTTAAAGAAAGCGGGTTTTCACCGAAACAGTAACAAATTAAAATTATTTTATCATCTATATTGAATAAAAATATAAAATTCTTTTGAATAAAACCGACAAGTATTAGACTATTATTTGCAATATGGTGGCGGAAGAAAAAAATTATCACTGGTTTCGCTCGTATGGACAACTTAAAAATACTTAGATCAGTTACAGTAATCAGTGTATGTAATCAGTAATAATGCCATAGCCAATACGCTTGTCATTAGTGGTAGTTATGGAAAATTATTTCTTAAATAGCAGAGACTCACGTTCAACGAGGCATATTATTCAATTTATTCAAGGCATATTAGATGGTAAATGCAACATTAGCCTTACCATCTAATATGCCTTGAATATTAAGTAACTTTTTTGCTTTCGCATAAATTAATAATGATTTGTTATATTTACGCCAACACTACACATTGAAATAATAATAGTTTTTTACTGAATTTATCGCGTATATTTAACTTTTTAAATACCCGACGCTTCGAACGCTTTACAGCACTCATGGTCACGGGCGGGACTGAGATGTTCAACGTCCATATGTCATAGTTAACCGCGGTTACCATAGATTAAAATTTAACTTTTGTTCCGATCTATACAGTATGAATTTATGGTATCTTGAAGTCTTGCAGTTGTATGCTTGGGTTGGGATTTAATTTTATTTATTATCGGATCCCAAGCAGATGGTAGCACCCAGCCATCTTCTCTATTGAAATTAGGATGTTTTTTGATTTCAATAGCCTCGCGAATCATCCTTGGAAGGAATCGGTGTTCTTTAGCGAGGAGCTGCGGTCTATCAAATCTGATGTAGTGACGGGGGCGATCCTGTACAGGTTCACAGACTACAGACTTCCCGGAGCGTCGATTCTTCACATCAGCTATATGTTCTTTAACGCGGTTTTTTATTGATTTTTTAGTTTGTCCTATGTAGGAGAGACCACATTCACAATCAAGCTTGTACAGTCCTGCATCTTGCAGAGGGAAATTACACTTGACTGATGGTAACAACTGACCAATCTTCTTCAGCGGCTTGAAGTATGTTTTGATGGAAGCACGCTTCAAGATGTAGCCAATCTTGTCAGTGACTCCTCTAACATATGGCAGTACAGCAGGTACACGCTCGACTATCACCGGCTTCACTCGTTCACTGTGACGTAGGCGCGGGATTCGAAGCTTGTTGTCATGCAAAACTTGCTTGACATGGTGGAGCTCGGCAGCCAGGTGTTTACTGTCACAGATCCCTCGTGCTCTCTGAAACAAAGATTTACCCACGGTAGCTAACTGTGAAGGATGGTGGTGAGAATCACCGTTTAAATATCTATCTGTATGGGCCTTTTTTCTATACACAGTATGGCTCAAGGTGTTATCAGGATTCCGAATTACTAACACATCTAGAAAAGCTAAGGAATTGTTTGCCTCTAACTCCATTGTGAACTGAATTTTAGAAATTATAGAGATAAGATTGTCTAAAAATGCAGTTACTTTATCTAAAGGTAGAATTGTGAAATTGTCGTCTACGTACCGCCTCTTGGATTTGTGGGGGAACTAAGCAGGGCTTTCTCCTCAAAGTCTTCCACGAATATGTCGGCGACAATGGGAGATACAGGTGAGCCCATAGCCACTCCATCTACTTCCTTTTAGAACTCCTCCTTCCACAATAGGTAGCCAGATGTAAGGCAGTGTCTGAGTAAAACTGTATATTCTACGGTCATGTTGTTTTCTTCCAGCCTTCTAGTTACAATTGAGATGCAGTCTTCAACAGGTAAGCATGTAGACAATAACTGCACATCAAAACTGACCATAGTTTCATTGTCTGCCAGATGTAGGTCTTTAATCTCGCTGACAAAATGGTAGGAATCCTTTATGTGTGCTCTTGTATGTCCAATGAGCGGTGAGAGTATTTTCGCTAAGTGTTGAGCCAATCTGTAAGTTGATGAATCGATTTGGCTCACTATGGGACGTAATGGAGTATTGGGCTTGTGTATTTTTGGTAACCTGTACGGGTATTTTGGTGATTTGGCGCACGTAGGTATTATCCATTTTACATCCAATACAGTTGACTAACTTCTAGCACTTTAAGAAAACTTTGTAAAAAAATTAATAAATCAGAAAAGGTAGGAATTCGCTCCCCGTTTTGCATCTAGAAACGTTTACGCGTATCAGAATGTAAAAAACGTGCAGCTAAATAAAATAAAATAAACTCATCTAGTTTCTTAATTTTCATAGCTTTAAGAGCATTAACGGTTTCATTCAACATATTGGTTAAGTTACGTAAATCGGCATAATTACCAGACTTCAAAGGAATAAAGCTACAAATTTTATTCAAGTACGTTGCGGCCAAAATTTGTTTATTTTGGAACCGCTCGATAAGAGCATCCAAAACAATTTGGTAGTTGTCAGAGGTAACTGGCACTCCTTTCACGATTGATAACGCCGAAACCGAGAGACACGTCAACAAATAATGAAACTTTTCGATTGACCTTATATATTATTGTTTTCATGTACAAGGGTGGAAAATGTATCGAATACAGTTTGCCAATGTTCAATGTTTCCATCAAATTTCGGTAATTCGAGTTTTGGTAAGCGTGCTTGCGCGTATGGTTTCATAATATGGTATGATAATCCGGAAGTCAGACTCGGGTCTGGGTCGCATTGCGGGTTGGCCCGAGTGCGACCCTCGTTTAGAGCAGCCCTGGCAGCATCGACGGTGTAGTACATGTCGTCAAACGCAATCACGGGCTTCATATCAATAATATCGTCTGGCTTTAATTTTAACTTTAACTCGTCTATTTGATTCGTATAATCCAAGAATTCTTTACGCACTATATCAATACGCTTAAACCTAGCTTCGAATTGAGACGCAGAAATTGTGTCCGTTTGGATATTATTCGATAAATCACATAGTATTTGAATTTCTCGAAATGTATATTCCCTTTGAATAGTAAGCAACTTGAGTTGTCTCTCAAATTCACTAACGTTCGACTTTGTTTTAT